GACCCACAGCGCCCCTAGAGGACAGAGTGGAACTGCACCACAGGGTTTCCAAGGCTGTAATCTTTACAGGATGGTACGGCTACATTTTTCTCCCAGAAGAGGCTGGCTGGTTCAAACCACCAACCTTTCGGTTTGCAGCTACAGCACCAGAGCTCCTTCCGTAAAGATTACAGCCTAGAAAACACTATTGGGCAGTTCCAGTTTGTCACGTGGGGTTACGAGTCAGAATTGACTCGACAGCACGGAACCACACCAAGTCAGATACGTGGCCAGCGAGCCTGGTCATCAGGCTTCACATCCAGGGACGCTGTTCACACATGGACACTCACAGCCTTGCACACACGTGTACACACACACAGACCCGCACCATGAACAAGGACACATGGGATGTTTGAAGGTCACAGCCATGCACACACACGTGGACACCCACACCAGACCAGGGATTGACTGCACAGCCAGGTCCAGGTGTTCACACTCCTGTCAAGGTCAGGCGCTAGGTCGAGGGCAGTAAGGAGGCTGGGGCAGTGCGGGTGGGGTTCACGAGGGGTTTAACAAAGGAAGGGTGGGGTTGTCCTGCGGAGAAAGGTGGAGGGCGGGGCTGAACAGCTGGCCACCGAGGCTGCACCCAGCCAGTCCAAGCCGGAGGTGGGCGGAGGCCCTCGGTGGGTGCAGTGGGCAGGTGGGGGCAGGGAGGAGACCGGGGACAGAGAGAGCCCGAGGGGAGGCTGGCAGCGTGGGGGGAGGACCGAGGAGCACCCACAGGCCAGTGGCGGCGGGGGGGAGGGTGGGTTAATGACAGTCAACCCCCACCTCCAGCGTCTGAGCATCGGGTTACAAGTCATTTCTCCTCTTGTGACTGACTGTGGGCTCTGAAGTCCCCTGTCCCCAGGGTGACCTGGACCTAGTGGCTGTCCCTCTGAGCCACAGCCCTGTCCTCTGTGAAGCGAGACCAGCTGGGCCCATCTGTGGGGACGTTGTGACGATGCTGCCCCTGAGCCTGGCGCACAGGGAGCGCTGAGCACCGCTGAAGTTCTGTCGTTGTTGGGGCCGCTCAGGTCGTTTTCAACTCACAGCGCCCCCATGTGGCAGAGCTGCCCCATAGGGTGTCCTAGGCTGTCCATCATCTTCACAGGAAGGAGTCCTGGTGGTGCAGTGGTTAAAGTGCTTGGCTACTAACTGAAAGGTCAAACCCACCAGCTGCTCCATGGGAGAAAGATGAGCTAGTCAGCTTCTGTGAAGATTGACAGCCTTGGAGACCCTGTGGTGCAGTTCCACTCTGTCCTCTAGGGGCGCTGTGGGTCAGAATGGACTCCATGGCAGTGGGTGTGGTTTGGGCTTTGCTTCTGTGAAGATTGACAGCCTTGGAGACCCTGTGGTGCAGTTCCACTCTGTCCTCTAGGGGCGCTGTGGGTCAGAATGGACTCCAGGCAGTGGGTGTGGTTTGGGCTTTGCTTCTGTGAAGATTGACAGCCTTGGAGACCCTGTGGGGCAGTTCCACTCTGTCCTCTAGGGGCGCTGTGGGTCAGAATGGACTCCACGGCAGTGGGTGTGGTTTGGGCTTTGCTTCTGTGAAGATTGACAGCCTTGCAGACCCTGTGGTGCAGTTCCACTCTGTCCTCTAGGGGCGCTGTGAGTCCGAATCAACTCCATGGCAGTGGGTATGGTTTGGTTTAATCTTTATGGGAGCAGATCACCAGGTCTTTCTCCCCAGGGGCCACTGTGGGTTTGAACTGCCAACCTTTTGGTTCACAGCTGAGCACTTAGAATTGTACCAGCAGGGTTCCTTGCACAGCCCACATTTAATCCTCACTGCAACCCGAAGAGGGATGGGGCTGTCCTATCTCCATTTTACAGCTGAGGACCAGAGTCAGGGATGATAGGTAAGTAGGAAGCAGCAGAGTCGGGATTCAGACCCAGAGTCTGTGTGGCTGGCCTCTCAAACACTCACTTATCATGGGCTCTCCCTAAGGAACCCTGCTGGTGCAAATGGTTAAGTGGCCAACTGGTAACCGAAAGGTTGGTGGTTCAAAGCCAGCCAGTGGTTCTCAGGAGAAAGACCGGGTGGCCTGCTACCTGAAGAGTACAGCCTAGGAAACCCTATGGGGCAGCTCTATTGTGTCAGGAGTCAGAGTCGACTCATCCAACTGAACAACCAACAATGGGCTTTCCCTGAGTTACGCCTTTGGAACCTCACGATAAACTTTGCAGAAAGCTACTGTCTTCTTCAGCACAAGCTCTGGTGGCGTAACGGGTAAGACATTTGACTGCTGACTAGAAGGTCAGCAGTTCAAACCCACCACCTGCTCTGAGGGAGGAAGATGAGGCAATCTACTTCTGAAAAGATTTACAGCCTTGGAAACCCCATGGGACTCACTATGAGTCAGAATCAACTCAATGGCGGTGGGTTTTGGGTGTTGGGTCTTGGGAAAGCCCAGAGAGGTGATGTCAGCACCTCAGGGTCACACAGCAGGGGAGGAACTTGAACGCGGGTCTGTGGGACATCAGGGCCCTGCGCGATGAGAGGCCGGGGGCGGTGAGGTGACTCAGGGAGGTTGGCCGGTGACTGAGTGGAGTGTGAGGACAGGAGCAATCAATCATTGGTGGTCTCTGGATGAGGGAGGGGCTGGCAAAGGGCTCACACGTGGGGGAGGGGCTGCCACCCCCCCACAGACCCAACCCCACCTCTGCCCACCTCACCTGCAGACGTCAGCAGGATGGAGAAGGTGAGGAGAAGCCACATGGCGGAGCAGGGACCAGGGATGAGCTGATGTCTGGGGGGAGGGGTGGGGCGAGGGAGCCAGGTGAGGCTAGCCCAGACACGGAGCCAGACCCCAGGGCCCGTCAGACCCCAGCACCGTCACACCTGCCCCTGGGTCTTCTCTGTCCCTGAGGTCCAGCTCCGGCCACATCTCTCTCTAGACTCCGCCCCACCTTCCCTCCTGCCTCCAGCCCGTTCCCCTCTGAGGGTCTTTCTCCACCCGGAGCCGGCCCCGCCCCTCGCCTGGTCACTGCCCTCTGTGGCCCCCAGCACCCTCAGGAGGGTAAAGCTTAAAACTCAGCCCCTTGGTGCCACTTTCAAGGAGATGAGTAGCTCCCCCTCCCCTCTATGGCTGGGACACTCACAAGCCCTGTCTTTCTAGACACAGTGAAAAAATACAAGAAACCCAACCCAACCCACTGCGGTCAGGTCGGTCCCGACGCCTGGCGCCCCCGTATGTTCCAGACTAGGACTCCTCCCGGGGGCTTCCTCGGCTGTAAGCGTCTCGGAAGCAGACTGCCAGGCCTTTCGTCCGCGGCCCCCAAGGAGCTCCTAGACGCACCTGCACTGTTGTGCCTCCAGGCCTCCGTTCAGGCTGTTCCTTCTCCCAGCCCATTCCGTTCCCTGCCCAGCCCGCTTCCTCCTTGAGGCCTTGTTGTGACCTCCCGCGACCCTCCCACTGGGCTGGGAACTCCCCGAGGACGGTGGCCGGGTCTGACTGCACTGGGGTCCCCCAGCACCTCCCACGAGGCCTCGGGGAAGCTTGTGGCCTCAGTGAGCGCCCTCCTTCTCCCTGTCACTGAGCCCACCTTGTCGTACACGGCTCGGCAGGCCCCACATCTTCCGGGGAGGCGCCTCTGGGTGGCACGGCGCCCTTTCTGCCTCGGTTAAGGGCACAGATGCCCGGAACGCTGACATCCGGGGCCCTCCCCCTGCCCCCAGACAGGGCTGTGGTGGGGTCCTCGCCGTGTCCCCCGCTCCGCCCAGCCGTGGCCTGGCGCGGCGGAAGCCTGCGGGAGGTGGTCTGAACCGGACCTGGGAGAGCTCCTGGTAGCCGTCCTGGCGCCGGTACAAGCGCTCTTGGCCTTTGGGGAGTCTTCCTGGGTCACTCTGGGCCTCCCCCTCCCGCTGTGGCTGCCTCCTGCGTCGCTAGGTTTTCCTGGTTCAGGTTAACTTGGGACCTCAGTCAAGGACGCGTGGACCTACCTGCTGCCTTGACATTCAGTGCCCCTGGGACGTGCCCCTCCCAGACCTATCCCAGGCCAGGCAGGCCCATGTCCCCTCAGGCCGGGGGGATCCGTATCCCCTCACTGGAGTGGCTCCCCCAGACCTAGGCAGCCTCTTCCCCCCCCAGGCCAGGGCAGCCCACGTCCCCCCCAGGCTGGGACGGCTCATGCCTCCTGAGCCCCGAGTGGCTTGAGTCCAGCGCAGCCACGTCTCCCTACTAACACCAGGGCAGGGCCCACGTCCTCTCAGACCAGGAGCCTCTTGACCTTACGTCCTCCCCTCACCCCCACTCCAGCCTCAAGGGTCTCACCCCCTCCGGGTCCTCCAGGAGCATCTGGGGCAGCTTGGATCCCAGAAGAAGAGGCTCAGGCCCCCGCGTGCCTGCATTTATAAGCTCCCAGCCCCACCCGGCCCAGGGAGTGGGGTGGGGGTGGCTGGGAGCCCAGTTTACAGGCCGGGACGCCTTGGTGGCTGGTGGGGCGCGGGACCAGCCCTAATGAGCATTTATGAGGGCGCAGCTTTTGTCTGAGTCTACCAGGAAAAATGACCTGCTGGTGGGCAGTTCCCTATGGGGGAGGGGAGGGGAGAGGCAGCGCAGAGAATTGCAGGCGACATACAGGGCCTCGAGTCTGGAGCTTACAATCTGGAATTTGGGGTCTGGAGTGTGGAAACTGGGCTCTAGAGTCATGCTTCTTGCGCCGGAGTAGGTGTGTGGACCTTGAATTCTGGATTCAGGGGTCATGACCTGAGGGTGGAGGGTGGGTGTTGGAGTCAGCGAGCTGTGATCCGAGGACTTGACTCTGGAGGTGGGAGTCTGGACTTTGACAGGATTCTGGATCCTGGAGCTTTGAATGTAGACTCGGGACGAGGAGTCTGGGGTCTGGTGTTTGGAATCTGGGGGCTTCCAAAGCATAGTGCCTAAGGCACTTGACTGCTAACCAGAAGGCTGGTGGTTTAAACCCACCAGCCACTCCTCGGAGGGAAGGTTGGGCAATCTACTTCCCTAGTGATACCGCCTCGGAAACCCAAGGAGGGGTCGCTATGAGTCAAGTCAAGTCAATGGCAGTGACTTTGGTTTGGGCTTTGCTTCCAGTGGGTGTGGTTTGGGCTTTGCTCCCATCAAGACTGACAGCCTTGGAGACCCTGTGGTGCAGTTCCACTCTGTCCTCTAGGGGCGCTGTGGGTCAGAATCCCCTCCAGGCACTGGGTTTGGTTTGGGCTTTGCTTCTGTGAAGGTAGGAGCTCTGGTGGCGCAGTGCCTAAGGCACTTGACTGCTAACCAGAAGGCTGGCGGTTCAAACCCACCAGCCACTCCTCAGAAGGAAGATGAGGCAATCTACTTCCTTAGAGATACTGCCTCGGAAACCCAAGGAGGGCTCGCTATGAGTCGGGTCCGACTTGACAGCACATACCAACAACAACACTGTGTGAAGTCTGGGGCACAGAGTCTGAATTATAGATGCTGGATTTTATGTTCTGAGGGCTGCGTTCTAGTCTGGTGCAGACTTTGAGGTCTCATAGGTAGACTGTGGAGACTAGTTGACTTGGGCCTGGCTTCCATGACTCTGGGATCTAGAGTCTCAGCTCTAGGACATGCATTTAGAGTCCGGGAGCCTGGAATCTCTATTCTGGATCCTTGAGTCTGGGTTCAGGGGCTTGAAATCTGGATTCCACATTCCAGAGGCTGGAGATCAGCCATAAGATGACCAAAGGCTTTGGGAATTTGAGGCTGGGTTCCCGTGACTCAGAACCACAGAGGCTCCCGTCCAATTGTCTAGATTCTGTTCTGGCTTATTTCACAAACAAGAGCAGGTGGGACGGATTGACTCCAAGTCACACCGTGACGTCTGCAGTCTGGACTGTGAGTCTCAGGTCTAGGGCTAGGATCCCGGACGCTGGACCTTTCAGAGTCTAGAATTGGGGACCTGTGCTAAACATCCTCCCTCTCCATGTCTGGAAAGCCTTCGCCTTTCCGAGAAGGGCTGCGTGACGGCAGCTAACTGGCTTGGAGGTCAGTGGCCAATGCCCCTGTGGTCATCGGCCCTAAATTTCACCACAGACAATAGGCGGGGGGAAGGATGGCGCCTCAGCCTCCAGGTGTCTTTTGGGAATTCCAGAACCATAGCAGCTCAGTGATTTCAGAACGCTAGGGGCTCAGTCGTTCTGGAATGACAGGTTCTCAAAACTTTTAGAATATTCTCCAGGTCCTAGAATTGCAGACT